TTGTACATCACATATATTACAACTTGTAATCGCAAGAGGACTAATTCCAGCAAAAATATTGGTTAAGAGAATTAAACGATTAATTAATTTTTTTATACAACCTAAGCAGAGTGAAAGACTTGAAGAAGTTCAAAGAAAATTTTCTGATATTCAAAATGAAAATAAAAGTGAAAGTGAAAATGAAAACGAAAATGATAATAATAATTTCGAGGTAGGACATAATATATATTTATTTATTTATAAGTGCTGTCAAAGAAAAACCTATCATCAGCCTCTAATTATATTTGTACAAGACAAGCAGAGACAGGAAATAAGTGTGATTTTATTTATAGAATTTGAAAATCCTATAAACAAAATCATACTTTTTCTGTATCCCTGGTATCCGATACAAATATAATTGAAAATCTAATACAGTATACCTCCCAAAACCGATCTTGTCAAAGCTGATAACCTGTTATAACTGATAAAAAATTGATCTACCATGTCTGTTCTATAATTCAAACCCGATAACTTGCCATTTCTGACAACTGATACTCAAAAGATCAGATACCTATAAGATATTAGGTTTGTTAAGTATTATAGATCAATTTGATTAGCTCAGATCGTGCTTTGTGTGCCCAAGTAGATATATAATAAATATAATCTAGCAAATTATATTTATTTATAATCATGTGACCAGTGAGCCATTAGAAACTAAAATCTGATAACCTCTCAAAACCAATACAAAAATTGTCCACCATGCCTATCGGATATGAGAGGGTGTACTGTAACAAGTTTTTTCTTGATAGTACTCAAAATAATATAATAATTTTTTAATAAATAAATTATATTCTAATTTATTAGGGTGTTTCAAAAATTTCTGAATACTTGCATACAATAGCCGATTGCACAACACGTTGGAATTCTTCTTATCTTGTCTGGAATCGACTTCTTAAATTAAAAAATCATATTAATCTTCTCATTAACCTACTTGCAGCCTAATATGATTCTAATATCAAGAAAGATCTTAAATATTTAAAAAAAATATTGCTTCTTGATGATGAGTGGGATGCAATAAATGATTTAGTAGAGATTCTCCAACCATTCACTGAAGCCAATAATTACTTAGGTGGAAGTAATTATTGTACCTATTCGATTTTTAATTGAGCTAAAAAAAAATTGTCAGTTATCAGTCTTTAATAATGATAATATAGCAGACATTAATGACGATGACGATGATAATAACTTTCAAGACTTATTCGATAATGATACAAGTGACGAAGAAGAAGAGGATGAACAGAATTATACGCCAATTAGTATAAATATTGATGAGATCAAAAATAATTTGCATAATACAATAAACCACTATTGGCCCAATTTAACATTACCAAGTTCACTTTTACCTAGTCTTCTAGATCCCAGGTATAAAAATCTATGTTTTGTCTCATTTGCTGAATGATTTGCTACTGAAAATTTACTTCATGAGAAGTATGATAAAATGAAAAATAATATAGATAAAGAGAAAAAAAATATTAGAACAGAGGTTAAATCAACTTCTGCAAAAAAAAAAACTAAAAGTAGCATTCTTTCTAGTTTTAAAAAACATATACCAGTTACAGTTGAGGAGATTTCT